ATTTATGAAGTTAATATTCATAAAGTTTCACTTGTATAACAAAATACTTTTAAACTAATTAGGTATGATAATATCCATATTGGATATAAAAAGCTTTTTCCTGGAAGTGATATAGAATGTGAAAGCTTCTTTACTTGCGATCTACATTTTAAACTTTTGTTGTGCAATATCTCTTCATTTTATTCTTTTTGTTTACCCTTTTTTACTCTCACTTTTTTTATTATTTCATTTTTAGTATTAATTTTGGGAAACATATCCAACTCTTAACAATGCGTAGTCGTTTGATATTGTAATAACCCATCCATTTTTCTCCAGCTTCATCAGAGTCCTTCGAAAGCTCTTTATGAATTTTCTGAAGAAGAAGTAATATAGTCAATACCAACTATCTCTATTTTATTTCTATATTGGTTTAGATATACGGTAAATATAGATATTACAATTGCTAATATATAGAAAATTGGTAAACCCAGTGTTTTCGCATTCTTTTGCATAACGTATTTGAAATGGTAAAAGACCTTAAAATGTCATTAAAAAAATGATTTATAAAATTGCTGATAATTTTTGAATTGGAAGTATCTTATTTTTTTGGTGATTCTGTTCATCTTGATCTTAACAATTTAGTGTCTATGTATATATATTAAGCAGTAATAGGAGAGCTATAACTCTAATTTCTCAGAGACTAATTATCGCTTAATCATCCATTCCCCATATAACTCCTCCACATAAATTGGAGGTCACCAAAATACTTTTAGCACTACTCCCATATAATATATCGCAAATCCGCCTTTTTTAAGTTTTTGAGGTCAGTTTTCAGGACGAAACAACGCATCTCCAACTCCTTCTAAAGTTGTCGATTTTATTCTTACCAAGTTAGATAACGTTACTGTTCGTCAACCCGTAAACATTTTATTGATTTATTTATGTTGAGAGGCTTCTCATACGTCATAGGAACAATAATACAATTAAATTGGTAGATTTGTACACGTGATGATTTATAGTGACCCATTATAGTAGTAATATGAATAGAGCCATCGTACGATATTGACCTTGCATTGCTTCCTACTCGGCGTTTGGAATTCGCACTTCTATTTCACACATATCTCATGTTACGAAGATGTTTTGTTTCTTAAAATTAAAAGTTATCTTTTGATTCATAATTTTATCTTTATATAATAACATGATTATTGGGGTCTCATAGGCGTGGGAAGAATATGTTTTATATCATCCTTTTTTTCTTTTTTTTGTTAGTTTTAGACAATTTATGTATAAAGACCAAATAAAACCAATAATCATTTTTAATAACTAAATTCAAAAAATACTGCGTATTTAACAGTGTACTATACATTTTTTAAATATCTATTTTGACAAAATATTTTATAAACTAATTCTAACCTTAAGCTAAAAGGGCGATCAATCGCGTTGATAAAAGCTGCCATGTGATTTTAATGAAAGTTATTTGTTCACGATTAATTATTTAATATTTGATCTTTATATATTATATGTAAACAAACTAACTGTGAGTTACATATTGCATATTAATCAATTTAGTGCATTTAGTTAAAACTCGGAACCTGTGAGCCTTGAAATGATCATAATTACATATTCATCATACGATGCCAATTTGAAAGTCCAAACAAAAAATTGATTTAATATTCATTAAATCAGTTTATGCCAAAATCATTTATAGATTTCGATTATAGAATTATTATAATATAAGCATATATTAATTTCACTACTGAATTAAACTGCTGAAAATTACATCATTTACAAATTTCCATTGAATTGTGAATTAGTTATTGTCTTTAGTACCAATTGTTTTATAATAATGTTTCTTTAAAAGTTATTAAAATTTGCTAAAATTTACTCTGTATTAATTAATATAAAAATTAATACATTGATTTTATAATAATCTATGTGAAATAAGTGATTACTCATAAATAATATTAATTATTTCAATTTTAATTATTATTTTTAGAAATGGCAACAATAAATTGTTCTTTCATTTGCACAACTGGCGAAAGATTTTTTGTACATTTGCACGATGACTTTCGAATAAAAGTATGATGTTAATAAAACATTGCATAAAGCAACTGCAAACAAATATTTTATATCATATTGATTGTTAATCATGTCATTTTTACCAGATCCAAATTAGGAAAATAATTTAAAATTTTTTATTATATATTTATATAGGTAAAATCATTAGCAATTGGTATTGATTAGCTTCAGTAGTTGCATTATCTAATATAAATCTACATTCCAAATTTGTCGTTTATCATCCAGATTTTAATTTCTAAGCATTTAAATATAGATTTTACCATGTTAAATTCTAATCTATAATCAATTTATGTAAAATATTTACTTTGCCAATTTAAAAATCAAGAATCATTTGTGTATTGGCCGTTGAACTTCGTAAGATGTACTTGGCTATTATTTAATATTATTCAATGTCAAAGCTCTTGAATTCTATTAAGCATTTTCGTATGGCACGTGCCAAATTAAAAAAAAACATAAATTGTTTAAATACTATTTGTCCGTTACTGATAATAAGATAATATTATATATTAATGTTAATCTGAATCAGATCGGATTTTTCTCTATTCGAAAAAAGATAAAAAATCCTTTCAGATCGCATCTTTTTTTACTGTATTGAATTTTAGGTATGCAGTTTTTGAAAATAGTTTTTATAACAAATCATTTAATTGAAAATTATTTTTTTATAAAAAAGGATATATTTTATTTCAAGATATTTTTACAATATTTTAAATTATCATTTTTTTATTTCAAATTTTTCTTCAAGTAGGGAATGCAATTAGAAATTTTAAATTTATGTTTTCTTAATTTAAATAAAGTAATAAACTATTTTTTGCTTTTTTAATATAAGATTATTAATGTCTGCTTAATAAAATTTGATATGCAGTATCACATTCCTCCAATTAATTAAGTAACGAAGGTTTCTTGTTGTATACATACATCTCTAGAACAAACAATTATATTATTATATCTAGAAGATATAGTTAATATAATTAATATTTAATTAATTAGGCAATATCAATTAGGTATTATGCAAGAAATTTAATTTTCGTAACACTGATTAATTTTCTTGTAATTACGCTTAAAATAGTTCTCAAAGTTAAATAATTGCAATTTGTATGTTAAAATTTGTACTTGTTTATCTCGTGCAGCGATTTTTACAGCTTTTAAAAATGTTTACATCCCGAAATACATTTTACTTTCAACGTAAACTTATATTCCAATCAATAAGCCCACAAGTGGTTGAGAATGTGAACCATATGTTGAATTAAATATTGATTTTCATTTTCCTAGTTGCGTGCTCGTTGAAAAAAGTGACAAAAATACAAATGTGCACGTTCGATAAGTCGAAAAATTTTGCAATGCTAATTCTCTTTTTTGCAATTTACAAATACACTGGAATGATTAATTAATGTTCTATTGTATAGGTACGTAAGCTTGTGAATATGATGAACGCGCATGCCTAATAGGGACTTCTTGGTGAATGATTCTCAAAACTTTTTGGGAAATTGCCAAGATATTGTTATTATGATATAATAAAATTTAATCGACATATAATTTAATCTTGAACTAATTAGAAGACAATTGACAATAAAATCATTGTATTTATAAATACAATATGTAATTATAATTGGATTGGATTATTTTCATGTTAAGGATTTTAATCATTATGATTACTTATAATTTTCAGACCAAATTTTGTTCAAAAGTAAACTGTAATCTATAGTGAAGAAATAGAGGTAAAAATTTAGTCTTTTACACCAAAGGCCTGGATTTAAGCAGGACATCTACAATAATACTAAAGTAATAATTTTATTAAACCACTTTTTATATAATTCTATTATAATTTAAATATACTTACACCAAGAAAATTTCAGTGAACGTTCTATGTAAGCTTATTTAAAATCTAATATAAATAATATTGTGCATTTAAGGTTCTTCCTAATTAATCAAATAAATTTTGTTTCAACTGCCTTTTAGATCTATTATTATTTGTTTAGAGATCTATTTGGTTGTATATAATTATATCTTGTCTCTGCATGCATTCTTTTATAACATATGAGTTATATAGAAACTTGGCTATTAAAGTAAATTCTTCTGAATTTTAGTTCGTTTTAGTGAATCTTCATGTCTAACAACTCATGAAACAATAATTTTTCAGTTGACTTTGAGTGATTCTTGTATGGATAAAATTCCTCGCTAAGGAAAGAACTCATCATAGAAAAAAATTGTTAAAAAATTAGTTCAACTTTTTGTAGTTGTCTGATTAGAGTCCTCTATTTGGTTGTATATAATAAAATATATTTTGTCACTTTGTATTACTCTATAACTACATAAGATAAAATTTGCTCGTTAAAGTAAGCCCTACTGAATTTAAGTGAACACTCATATCCAACAGATTTTTTTTGTTTATCATAGAAATCTATACAAAGTAGTACATTAAGCTACAATTTTAGGCAATTACAGAAGATGGTGCATGAAGGATAGCTCTTTATTGCTAGCTCCTTCACCATTGATAATTATTGCAGTAAATATTTAATTAATTTCGTGTAGTCATTATAATTTATCGTTTCTTCAGTTGCTTAGCAGACACAGGTTTGAGCAGGCAGGAGCAGGTGAATTGCCAGTTGACTAACAGCATATGAAAAAATAATTTTGAACTTTGCTTTATCGAGGATAAATATCCTTCGTAAGATCATAGTTTGATCATTTGATCACTTTTTTTGCCTATTTTTTATAAATTTAAAATTTCATTCGTGTTGAATTCCAATTTCGTGGAACCGTTTGATTGTCCCTGAGTTGATCTTGTGCACAATTTGCCTTAGTACCTATACTACGTCGATTACTGGCTATTTCATTGTGAATACTACACAGAATGTCAGTTCTATGACTCCAAGGTCGCTGTACAGTTCGCGGATCGCATTATTCAAGAATTATAATTTCTGCTTTATTCGTTACCTCACCTATCCGCATGCCGGACGTGGGACATCGCGTTTCCTAGTACCGAATAACACATATTCCGTATGCCGACATAGAACTTCTATCAATAAAACAGTGCTTTTTCTAACCAGATGTCCCACTTTGCAAAATAATCGTATGCAAAAAACTTTCTAAATCAAATTTGATATTGACTTATTCTTATACACGTGCACCAGATCGAAGCTCCACAAGTACACAATTCGCAACGTGGTAGACGACAGCTCTGTTAATTTTTATTTTTACGTTCTGCAAGACATCAAAAAAGTGATCTTTTGTAAGTTAACAAAACGTTATAAAATATTGTGATTTTGTGGGCATACAGTGTGAAGTTTAAGTGATTTTTTATCGTTTTTCCAATGCCATTGTTGACGATTACCCATTCATTTAGTTAATTTCATAATTGCTGAATAATGTTTCAGTGAAAGTTAGAAAATTACCTAGTTCACAATCTGCGTTACTACTTATATTATCAGTGATACTTAACTGTTGCATATTTTGTATAAAACTATTTTTGTTTTCAGATAATAATGATTAGGTCACTTTTTAAATGCAGTGTGCGGAAATGTTTGAATCAATCTCAAACACAGATCCTAACGACTATTAGGAAAAATCATGTGAACGCACTCAAAAATCCACCAAAAATATTGATCACAGGTAATATTTTATTTAAGCATGGAGATTTATTTTAATACACAAAAATTTATATATATATATATATATATATATATATATAAATGTTTGGCTAAAAATATAAAATCCAAGTTAAATTCTCAATTTTATTTCTTAATCTTTGATTTTTTGTAGAATTTAATATTGATATTTTTATATTTTAATGACTAATGAGATATAAAATTATTCTTTTATGCCTTTGATATATCAAACCACATAAAATTTGCTTTTTGTCTTGGTAATAATACTTCCTTGTATCATCACTTAACCGACGCTTCTTTGTTCTCCCCGTTTGTTTCTAGTTTTCGAACAATGCTCGCAAAACACAATAAATAATAGAATTGCAGTCTCAGAAATCACTAATGCGTATATAAAGAATTTGCAATTAATTACCATGGCAGAGATGTTATCCATTAAATTTTATTGGAAATAAAATTTTATTTGCGAGAGTTGCCTTAACTCTCTAACCACTATCTCATCATAGACTTAAGTTTATGATGAGATAGTGGTTAGAGAGTTAAGGCTACTCTATCATTCTATAAATATATTATATTTTAATTTTGTCTAAGATCTCTATAAGAAAATGTTTGCTTGTGATTTATTTAATTGAAATAACAACAATTAATTTAATTGAAAATATACTCTTTGATCATCATTTCACAAGAGTCAGTAATTCTGAAATTTCTTTCAGAATTTAAACAGAAGCAAATTTATGATGAAATTTTTTTTATTATATTATTTTTTGAAGTTTCTGTTACTTAATTGCTATTATTGAGATTTTCGTTAAATATAATTGCAGCTACGTTGATGCATTTGGTGAGATCAATAAGACATTATCACAAAAGCAGTAAAAGTTAATGAGAAAAAATACCCTTACGTAACAAAAAAAAATACTCATCAAAATAACAAAACCATGACGACAATGGTTTCGTACTGACAATGATGATTCGAATGTAAGAAAATAAGGAAAGCGTAAAGCGTCGTCAAATGCTGTTTACTTTTTAATTGTTTATTGTACTGTGTGCATTCATTTATACATACTGTGCAATGGAATTGAATTTTAACATTTATTGTTATTAAAATACATTTTTGATTAGTAAGTCGATTGACTTTCTGTTCATTTTCTCGTCAAAAGCAGGAACAAATGATTGACAACTGACAGAGAAGAAAAGTAGGTGTAAATAGAATTTTGCCTTAGGCGAGATGCGTGTACTATTCGATATGTGTAAATAATTCAAATTGGGATTTACTTATTCAGATCAAAATTCAAACTGTTTTGAAATAAAGATTTCCATTTCACACATTGAACTAAACAATGCAATTTTCAATTGATATTTGTCAATCAAACTTATAATTTATATAACTATATTGCACAAACACGTGTGGTTTCAAAAGCGTGTGTTTCTACCAAACTTTTAATGATTTTTGTAATTTAACCATCTTTGATTTAAACTATGAACTCTATAGATATATCGACATCTTAAATTTTATTGAAAATGCAATTATTATCAAAATCTAATCAGGTCGATTCCTATAATGTCCTTCGAAAAGTTTTTGAATTTTTAAAGCCGGATTAGAATTTGCTTAAAAACTTGTAAAGAAATGGCTCGTCGATCGGCCCTAACTAAAATTAATCCCCACGAGTCCTTAATAATCGTAATCTTATCGACTTTCCTTATAGTTTATTGAAGTTCAAAATATAATTAAACTAAAGTTTTTAAAGCATCTAGTATTATAAGTATTTAATACAAAATGATGCTAATAATTTTTCAGAAAAAAAGTTGTTCTATATATTTTTGAACATTTTATTTTTTCAGGTGGTTTGGGACAGTTAGGATTTGAATGTGCCAAATTATTACGTTCAACTTACGGAAGCGAAAATATTCTTCTTACGGATATTATCAAGCCCACCAGTCAAGCACTTCAAAGTGGACCATATTTATTCGCAGATATTTTGGATTTCAAGGTACTTTAATAATAAAAAATTATATTAACTATAATGTAAACTGTTAAAAATATCCACTTTTATAACTTATTTCAATTAAGTCTTAGGAACTGATTGGTTTATATAAAATACTACGATACCACTAAATAAATGAAAATATATTTAAATATATCACCATTTTTTTTCAGGGCTTGCAAAAAATCGTAGTTGATCACAAAGTAGACTGGATAATTCATTTTTCAGCATTGCTCAGCGCTATTGGAGAGCAAAATGTACCATTAGCAGTTCGTGTAAATATTGAAGGTGTTCATAACGTTATTGAATTAGCAAAACAATATAAATTAAGGTATGTTATAATAATTTCAATAGGTGAAGATGCCCGACGCAATTTTTATTAAAAAGTAATTAATTACACTACGCACGAACAATCTATTACTTCAAACCAGTTATAATTTATTTTCTTCTAAGGAAATCAATTATATCTGGAAGTCCAATCCTGCTCGGTTCGAACATTAATTAGCGGGGGCAGATATACATTGCAAACGTAAATTTATTATTATATATTAATACCATATTTTTATTTTGTTGCGACTTGTCTAAAAATATAATTACTTATCTGTTATCTATTTCCAGATTGTTTGTGCCAAGTACGATAGGAGCTTTCGGTCCAGATTCACCTCGTAATCCAACACCAAATGTGACGATACAAAGACCGCGGACAATTTATGGAGTTTCAAAAGTTCATGCCGAATTACTTGGCGAATATTACAATCAAAGATTTGGTCTTGATTTCCGTTGCTTAAGATTTCCAGGAGTCATTAGCAGCGACCCTCCAGGAGGCGGAACTACAGGTACATTAAAATAAATATTAAATTGTTTACAATACATTTCAAGCGTTATTGTATATATAGTTATGTATGGACTCAATTAATTTATAAATCAATGCCACTTATGATAAATAAAACTCATTAAATATTAAAAGAGAAAAACACGATTATCGCACGAACGAAGTCGAGGTTTAAAAAAAGCGGACAAAAATATATATTTACCGTGCTGGAAAATATGTAAATGTTGTATTACCAAAATAATATCGTTCAATTGAGTTTATTATAACTAGATTGAGAATATTCCGACTAGATTAACTCTGAAATAATTCTATTGTCTAATTTCAGACTACGCAGTGGCTATTTTTCATGAGGCCCTTCGCACAGGCCGCTTCGAATGTTATTTGAAACCCGATACTCGACTTCCAATGATGTATGTAGAAGATTGTTTGCGGGCTCTGCATGAATTTATGGCAGCTCCTGAAGAGTTGCTGAAACGGCGCACATACAATGTGACCGCCATGAGTTTTACTCCAGAGGAATTAGTGAATAAATTGGCACCACACATTCCAGAACTATCTGTTACCTATAAGCCAGATTCTAGACAGGATATAGGTATGATGTAAAATAATATTAATCGCATATCCGACCTTTCGACTCGGATGCTGCCGCTCCGGCGGCAAAATACATATAAATTCCGGAATTCGCGAGTGGAAAGGGTTAATTACAATATGCATATACAAGTCATTTATATCGCATAATAAATGTTTTATAAATGATTAATTGAAATTGTATTTATTTTATTGTAGCTGATTCATGGCCACAGGTATTCGACGATTCGGAAGCACGCCAAGATTGGCACTGGCAGCATAAATATGATCTGGATAAATTAGTGGAAACAATGATAAAAGATGTAAGAGAAAATTATATTAATAAATAACATTTATCAAAAAGTAAATAAAATAAAAATTTATAAAAAATATTATGCTATATTTTAAGATATTGTATCAATTAAAATTACAATTACTATTATATATATTATTGAAATCAATATATTCTGGTAAAACATTAAAAATCATCCATCATTGATATATCAAATTCATCATCCCATTCTTGATCCTTCTTGGGTGCAATATGTGTTGTATCAACTTTATTTGCAGAACTCCCAATATTTGCAGTTTTAATGCTATTATCCTTGCTCTCAACTTCATCTCCCATGTTCCACAATTCTTCATCCCAGTTATCTTGTGATAAAAGTTGAGCTGCATAATCACCATCAGATTTTACATTGTTAACATTTCTTGATTTGTTTACTCTTTGTTTGCTTCCTATTGCAATTTGACTTTCCTCAAAGTATTGATTTGGATGATTGATGCCACCTTCCAATATCACATTATGAGTTGCCTCGAAATATTTTCCACAAGCTATTTGATAATGACCTCGTGAAGCATAATTTGCAATCTCTTGCACAAGATGTATAGGAGTGCCACTTGAAGTCAAAAGACTCCTCAAGGCACCTTGGTCCAAGCTTTTATAAGGACAACCGTGAGTGTCACCTGGACCGACAGCTGTAGAAATAATTTTCATACAACTGAATGGGCTAAAGTTGATTCTAGACCCTTCTTTGCCATAATTGTATCGTATTCCATAAGCATATTGTTTACTAAACCTATCTTCATCCATAATTTTTACAAATTCATCATGCCAAAACTTAAGAGAATCTTCAAGTGTTACACCAATTGCTTTGAGAAACAAACCATAATGCAATCTTCCATTATATTTAAGATGATGTTTATCTCGCAATATATCATGGCAATTTTTCATACACAGTGGAAAAGATTTTTTAGAAAGCTGTAAGAAACATGAAAAAATATAGTACTTATTGTAAAAAAATATTTGTTAGGTAACTTACATGATCAATAGATTCAAGAGGGACAAATGCTGTTTTTGATAGAGTATAATCTTTGCCTGTGTACGAAGTGTGCAATCCTTTTAATAAACCTACAAGTCTCTCATCAACTTCAATGTCTGGTAATATTCGATTAGCAGCCTACAAAAATATGATATAGAGGTGAAAATTCTTAAAATATTTTCATTCTTAGTTTACATTAAAAAATTCTTCTTAATAAAAAGTGAAAACATTTATAAATAGATCAAATATATAAAAAATAATGTGAACTTACTTCTAATCCTGTGCTTATTATTGTGCTATGTCTGGTTGATACTACTGAAACAAATTCTGTAGTAGGTACATAAGCATACCCTGATTGTAAATATACTCTTCTGTTCTTAACTAGATCCAAAACTTCTTGAAAAGGCACTTTATAAAAATCTTGCATTTCTATCTGGGCAATTGACAACCCAAGAGTTGATTGATACAAACCATCTTTTACATTACTTTTTTCTTCGGAATTTATGGGGTCATATGATAAATTATTTACTTTTAAGAATTGTTTAATGGAATCTTTGCTTAGTGCACTAAAACGCATTTTAAATAATTCCATTTCCCTAGCAAGAAACCATACTTGCAAATCTTTTGAACGACAATAAGCTAATCTCAAAATAAAATGTGAAATGTGGTCTCGCTTACGAGCTTGCAAATGTGCTTCTGTATTTCCAGAAGTACCTTGGCAAAGCTTTGCGTAACTTTTAAGGCCTTCTTTATTTAAATCTGCTATTACAGAATCTTTCCATTCTTGTGAATAAATTCTAAGATTTTTATTACTGGCCTGTTCTAAGATCCTTAAAACTTTTAACCTTTCAAATGCCAGTTCCTCAAATAAGGGCATTGTTATATCGTATGTGGGTGGCAGAATATAAAATTGTACATCATGTGGATACATTTCAACCTTACTACCTGTAGTAGGTTTCTTTATTTCTTGTTTAATTCTTCTTGAAAAATCCATTGCGCATCAATAACAAACTTATACAATTTTTTTTAAAACACACATTAAAAAATATATATTATAAATATATATATATATACTTCACAAATAATAATTACATTTTAGATACTATTAGATACATTTTAAAATCAGAGATGAAATTAGGAAATTACATTTCTTTAAAATTCAGTTTGGCACATAAGAATCGCGCCAAATTATTTGTCATCATCTGTCAATAATCACTGATACCAACAGAATTAGAAGAAAAAAAAAAGGTTATAATTTTTGTTTTGATTGGTAGCAATACTGTGTAACATCTAAGTGTCAGCTTGCTGATGTGTTTAATTATAAAATGGAACGAATATAATTGTTTATTTTAAATAAGTCAAGTTACTTTTATTTTAAAAATTTGCACTCTAAAATAGAACAAATTATTGCTTCATGTTTAGACATGATTATTGTGATCAAATATATAGCTTTTAATTACTATTGAGAAATTAATAAAACTTTTGCAATGATTTTACTCTGCTTGCTGATCTTTAATTTAGTTTTCGTTAATAGTTTTAGTTATCCTAATTCCTCATTTTCATTACGCGATGATTTTAGTACAAAACGTGAGAAGAGGGATTCTTCGTATGACACGAAATTAATAGCTGAACCGGCATGCTCAAAAATTATTCAATTGTGCAGCGATTTAAACTTACAAACTGACGATTTATATACATTAGAATGCATTTACTCCCTGAAACCTATTACTATATCATCTATTGATGATAAATGTCAGCATATTATCTGGTCTCACACTACTGATTTAATGAGTGACCATAATATCCAAAAAATTACCAAAGCCTCATGTGAGAAAGATCTGAAAATAATTGATTGTCCAGTTTCTAATGATATTGGACAACACTTAACTTGTTTGGTAGATCATTTACAAGATATTACTGATGTATCGTGTAAAGAGATTGTACAAAAGTTGGAATTTGTAGCATTTAGCGATTACAGATTAATATCATCTTTCATCAAAAGTTGTATAAATGATGTCGATAAACTATCTTGTGGTCGTCTAAGTGTTAATAGGGAAATGAGCCAAGGCAAGACAATAGCGTGTTTGCAAACATATATAAATGATCTGCCGGCTACTTGCAAAAGTGAGGTATTACATTTATCAGAATTGCAAGCTGAAAATATAAAATTGGACCGCCAACTCTATATTAGCTGTGGTCCTGACATAATGCGTTTTTGTCCAGAACTGCCTCCGGAATCTGGTTTGTTATTTAAATGTTTAATCTATCATAAATCTGAGCATACTATGAGTAGACATTGCTTCAATCAGCTTATACGAAGGGAGAAATTAATTGTGCAAGATTACAAAGTCAGTAGAGGTCTTGCGCATGCTTGTAAAGATGACATTAAAGCATATCATTGCAGAAGAGGAGTATCAAATAATAAAGATATCAGGCTAGCTCAAATATTATTATGCTTGGAAGGTGCTATGAAAAACAATAGCCGAATTACCTCTGACTGTGAAGCTGAAATGATTGAACATAGAAAAATGCTATTACAGGACTATCAGTTATCCCCAGATTTGATTCATAGTTGCCAAAAAGATATACCAAAGTTTTGTAGCAATTTAGATGCAAATGGTAGGACAATTCATTGTCTGATGGAGCATGCCAAGCCTCGTCGAAAAAAGGATCAAAGGATATCAGCAGAATGCCAAAGAGCATTAGAAACACTAATTAAAATTACTGATGCTGGTGAAGATTGGAGAGTGGATCCAGTGTTAAGAGAGAGCTGTAAGCCAGTTGTAGATGTTGCTTGTAAAGAAATACATGGAGGTGGTTCAAGAGTTATGTCATGTTTAATGGAACAATTGGGTACAATCATTTTTCTTATTTAGTATATCGAAATAATCACTAATAATTAATAATTTTTTTATAATTATCAATGATTTTTTCAATTCAGGAACAGATCACATGACTGAGGATTGTGAAACTGCTTTGGTACAAATACAGTATTTTGTAGCAAGAGATTTTAAATTAGACTCTCAATTATATCGAGCCTGCAAAGAGGATGCAATTCACAAATGTCATGCGAAGAAGGGGTGGATCAATGATGAAAATTCTGAAACTGATCCTGAGCGTGGTCCTCTTGTTTTACCTTGTTTATATCGATATGCTTACCACCCTGACTTGAATATGAAGTTAAAGCCTGTATGCTTGCATGAAATAAAAAGAGTTATGCGACAAAGAGCTATCAGTGTTGATTTGTTGCCTGAAATTGAAGATGCCTGTTTGGATGATCTTGCCATGTTTTGTTTTGAAAAAACAGGGAGGGGAGAAGAAATGTTATGCTTGCAGAATAATTTAGATTCTCTTATGCCTCAATGTAAGCAAGTTGTGTCAAATTTCACTGAAAATGAAGCTGGTAACATTGAGCTAAATCCTGTGATCATGACAGTTTGTCGATCTACCATGGAAAAATACTGTAGTGGTATTTTAAAAACTGGTAGAGATGAAGGAGATATGATGGAGTGCCTTATAGCTCATAAGAATGAACCTGATGTCAGAGCTGGAATGAAATGTCGTGCAGCCATAGAACATTTTCAATTGATTTCTCTCAAAAATTATCATTTTACCTATAAATTTAAAGAGGCTTGCAAACCTCATGTTTCTAGACATTGCCCATTATCTAATACTAAATATGATATTATTGCTTGCTTAAGTGAAGTTATTAGAAATGAAACAATTAAGGGCAACAGGCACTCAATCCCAAAGGAGTGTAGGCAACAAGTTAAAGCTCAATTATATCAGCAAAGAGAAAATATTGACTTTAATGTAAGAGTAAAAATGGCTTGTGAAGAAGATATACAGAAATTCTGCAGGAAAGTAGAGCATGGATCAGGACAGGTGATAATTTACATGCATTTATTGATACTTTCGAGTAATATTTTATATAATAATATTTGTACAGGTTTTAGAATGTTTGCAAGAACAACAAGGATCTTTGTCAAAGAAATGCCAGCATGCCTTGTTCCCCTTGAAACAGCAAGAACTACTAGACAGTTCTGTAGATTTTGCTCTATTAAATTCATGCCATGATATGCTAAAACAATATTGTGGTGATAAAGAACCTAGCCAGGCTCTCGAATGTCTCAAAGTAATAAAAAATTAGTACACATTCGGTATTAAAATTCCAATTAATTTTTTTTTTTTACTTGTAGTTGCACAGAAATGAAGTATCCTTTGATCACAAGTGTCGTTTGGTCATAATGCATAGAATGGTTCAACAAAATTTAGACTATCGATTTAATCCAGCATTAATGGCTGCTTGCAATTTAGACATATATAAATTTTGTACTAAAGCACTTGAAGAAGCTGTACCAAATGAAGAGCTAAATGGAAAAGTTATAGATTGTCTTAAGAAAAAATTCAGAAGTGCGAAATTATCAAGATCTTGTGAAGGGCAAATGACTATTGTACTTCGAGATCAAGCTTTAAATTATAAGTTGAATCCATTACTTGCTACTATGTGCAAAGCAGAAATCTCAACCATATGTAGATTGAATGAAGATGAACAAGATGCGGGAGAGGTACTTTCTATATCTTCATTAGTATTTATTAATCTTTTTTAATATTCTTTTATAGTAAAGGCGTTGCAGTCATATGCATTTTTTAAATAATTAAATTATAAAAATTTAATACTTAGTGATAATAACCTTATGATTAAATTTCATATATAAATATGATAAGGAATAAATATAGTAAAAGTACTATATATGGCAGGTTGAAGAATGCTTACGAAATGCTTTAGTGAAACATAAAATTGTCAACAAGGAATGTATGATTGAAGTGGCAGCTTTAATAGAGGAAGGTAGAGCTGACATTCATGTAGACCCACTTCTTCAAAGGGCTTGCTCAATTGATTTGTTAAAATATTGTGGAGATGTGCAGCCTGGGGCAGGAAGATGTAAGATTATTTTTAAAAAATATTTAATAAAGCACAATTATTAAATGTATATTATTCATAGTGATCAAGTGCCTACAAGTGATTCTTGGTGATAAAACAAAAACGTTAGAGGAAGAATGCTATTCAAAACTAACAAAACGAATGGAGATGTTTTCAAATGCTGCAAATGTAAGTTTTTTTAATATAGATATTAAATGTACAAAAATTTTATTTGATTGTCTAATACCATTGCAGGTATTACCTTCTGATGTTCAAGATCTTGTTGGTCAGGTTTATAGGTCACCATCAAGGAATTATTTTATGTTTATGTTCTTATCTATAGTTGGTTTGATATTCATGTTTGGTTTGTTTTGTGGCAGAATTACTCGGCGAGCAATTATACTTAAAAATAAATAATTTATATGTTTATAGAATAACAAAGATCCAAATAATATTATAAAATATATTTTATAATAAAGTCCTTTTATTGAATAGTTGGTTTCAATATACTTTCTCAAAAAGTATTTGATTTTGTTAATGTAGACCATATGTAGACTTATAACAATACAATCATTTGCTAGTATAAACTTTTCTCCATATTTTTGTTTTAATTTTAAAGTAATTAGTAACTTAAAATAAAATAGAACTAGCTAAATATATCAGAATTATCTGAATTTTAATTAAATTATTTTAATAGTTTGTCAGTATTAAAATGATTAAAGTCAGTATTAAGAAAAATGATTATATTAATTTGTTTTGTTTGAGATTCCATAATTCAAAAGTTGAAACAAAATATAATTTTACTAAAAATAAATGTCAAAAACATACATTTTCATATTTTTATTGACAGACAATACAATTTTAGTTCAATTCAGCTGCAAATATTTCGAAATTCCCGCCGTTTTTGCATCACATGCGCTTTCGTCATTCGACTGTTTCATCCGCTTCACAACTTCAATCGAACGCCAAATCTTCCGCGACAATAGTTCACTAGATCTAAATTATTACAAGTAAAAAGAACATCATAAGCAACTACAATTTTCTGTTATTTTACCTAAATTATTTAATAAAAATATATATTTTATATACACTAAATATTCACATATTTCAAGTTTTCGGCACTCAATAATTTAGCGTTGGCGCATTGATATATAGCCCTTGACGCATAGAAAGAAGTTCTTTTCCGTTCAGCAAGCGAAAGAACATGTCGTATACGTCTGAAAGAAGGTAAGAGTTTAAATTAAATAAGTTAGGAAAAGTGCAAATAATTGTGTATTTGAAGTGTGTGATAAGTTTGTGAATTTTGTGATACTTTAAAAGTGTTGTTGAGTTTGTATTTACAGTCATAAATGACATTAAACAACGCCGAACAAAATCAGTTTGCATGCCAACATGGCGTATAGCAATTTCGAGATTTCTTATATTCGCACGTGTAGTGAAATCATTAATTTAAACTTATTTAAGCTATTAAAAACAAAAACTTTGGTTATTCTAATTCATTTTTTTCATATTCGGCTATTAAATGGTACTTATTTGTCGTAGTACTTGATTTTTTGTATTATATAAGGTGTTCGTAGTACGCATTAGCATTGTGCGGTTATAATGCCAAAAATGTATTCTTTTGCAGTAATGAGGACTGGCAGGACTCAAAAAATGGCCCTTCCAGCGAAAAAGAAGCACATGCTTATGATGGGCCTCCCGGCATGGAACCCGATGGCGTCATCGAAAGTAATTGGGATGAGGTGGTTGATAATTTCGATGATATGAATTTAAAAGATGAATTACTTCGTGGAATCTATGCTTATGGTTTTGAAAAGCCTTCAGCAATCCAACAGCGAGCCATCATGCCATGCATAGTCGGTCATGATGTTATCGCACAAGCTCAATCTGGTACTGGCAAAACTGCAACATTCAGTATTTCCATTTTGCAACAAATCAAGACAAATGTTAATGAATGTCAGGCTTTAATTTTGGCGCCTACAAGAGAATTAGCACAACAAGTATGAATAATTATTTTAACTTACGTTGTTGTATTTGTACTAGGTGCTAGTAACCTAGTAGTAATTTGATATGTAGAATATAAATTCATAAATTTGTATTTTAGAGCATGTAGTGATGTCTGTTTGCAACATCTAGGAATAACTTTTACAATCAAAAATCTAGTTATTGTGACATAATTTTAATGAGGTGAAGATTATAACGTAATTATGCTTTCAGATCCAAAAGGTTGTAATTGCCTTGGGAGATTTTATGCAAGCCCAATGTCATGCCTGTATTGGTGGAACTAATGTTAGGGAAGATATGCGCAAGTTGGAAAAAGGTGTACATGTAGTGGTTGGAACACCAGGACGTGTTTATGATATGATCAGTAGGCGTGCTCTTCGCACAAATACCATCAAAGTAAGTACTTCATTAGTTAAAGTTTTTATTGATGCTGTTTGGAATTATGTTTGTGAATTATTATATCAGGAAACTTTCAAATTTAAACTAATATTTTTAGTAATAATTTAAAAATTTAATTTTTTAGCTTTTTGTGCTGGACGAGGCTGATGAGATGTTGTCTAGGGGATTTAAAGATCAGATTTATGATGTATTTAAAATGCTCAGTGCGGATGTTCAAGTTATTCTCCTCTCTGCTACTATGCCCAATGATGTATTGGAAGTTAGTAAATGTTTTATGAGACATCCAGTTCGGATTTTAGTAAAGAAAGAAGAATTAACACTTGAAGGTTAGTATAAACATACAATATCTATTTATTTTAAGATGCAAAAAAATGACTGAATCTTAAATAATTATTTCACGCAAAACTCCGTTCTAAAGTATTTTTTACAAACTTTAGGTATTAAACAGTTCTTCATTCTTGTTGAAAAAGAAGATTGGAAATTGGAAACACTTTGTGATTTATATGATACATTATCTATAACACAAGCTGTCATATTCTGTAATACACGTCGTAAGGTGAGAAATACCAATACAATGTTACTGTTAGTTAAATAATCCTTCTGAAAATGGAGTTCTATTTTTTTTATAATTGTACTAAGCTCAGATATGAATGATTTTATTTTTAGGTGGATTGGTTAACGGAAAGCATGCACAACCGTGATTTCACAGTTTCTGCCTTGCATGGAGACATGGAACAAAAAGAACGAGATGTAATTATGAGGCAGTTCCGTACCGGCAGTTCACGTGTTCTAATTACTACAGATTTGTTGGCTCGTGGAATAGATGTACAACAAGTGTCTCTGGTCATAAATTATGATTTGCCTTCCAACAGGGAAAACTATATCCACAGGTATGCAATAAGCTATTTTACTATTTATTGCTAATAGAATTATATTTATGTATATGGTTTAAATTAACTCACTTGGTATGTTTATTTTTTATTTTAGGATTGGTCGAGGTGGACGTTTCGGTCGTAAGGGTGTTGCTATAAACTTTGTCACAGATGAGGACAAGCGTACCCTGCAAGATATAGAGCAATTCTACAATACACACATCGATGAGATGCCAATGAATGTTGCTGATTTGATTTAAAATTGGTGACAGTTAAATGAGATTGAGCCAAGTGGATATAGAGGATTCTGTGAGTATCAGTGCGCTCCTAAGCGATTAAATCAATTGACAAAAACTATCTATTGCATTGTACCCTAATTGTAATTGTGTATTACCGATCTGTATAAAGTGGTATTCGCAACTATTTATATAAAAGAAGTGTTTTAGTATATATATTAGTATTCTTGTGAATTATACTAGGAATTTTGTATATGTTGATTTTACATAATGTTTATTTTTGATTTAAATATTTTTGCTTGTTTCACATTTGTAATTAACTTAAGTGTAAATAATTTTTCAAGCTTGATAAGCTCTTTGGAGCTAGAGACATCATGGTTAAAATTTTTGCAGCATACCGCAGATTGTGGTTTAAATGTATTACCTATCATAAGACAGTAATTAATTCACAATATATTTTCTACTATTTATGTCGAAATATAATTGGTTTTTGGAAAGGATTTTATAATTACAACAAAGATAAGCGAAAACACTATTCAATTTTGATAATAGTGTATGTAGTAGTGATGTCCATTTTTGTATTGATCTTATATAATTATAATTTAATAAAATAAACAATAATGAGACTTTGTTTTAGTTGAGCTGCAAATAATATCAATTTGTTATCTTTTACAGGATATTGGCATTGTCCTACAAGACTACAGAAAATAAATAACAAAAAAAACTGAATCATCATTTTTATTTTTCCCTTCCCCAATTATGTGATCTAACGAATGTAACAACTCATATTTATTTTAATAAAATAAAGTGTATATATTTTTGTTGCAAATGAAATTATGCACAAGCATCATATTTTTATATTTTCTGTTAAACTATTTATTTTAGTTAATGTATATTTAGAAATACATTGTTGGGGTTTATACTGCTTTTCAATACTCTGTTATTTATTTATTTGTGTATATATACTATTGATTATTTGCTATGCTTGCTAATTTTATTATTGTCCCAAGGTGGCAAGCTACATATTTTTCTAAATTAAAAAAATACTTAAAGGCTATGCAAGTTACTATTGTGAATTATAGTACAATGCGTATTGTAATTAGTTATGAAAATGTCATTTTGTATTGAAGGAATCTTTTATTTTACTTCCATTTGATTAAGATTTAGATCTTGAAAAAACTAGAAATTTGCATAATAAATATAATTCAAATTCAAACGTAGAGCCATTTATGATTCTACACTTCTAACGTTGGTAACACTTGCCACAAGTGCATCACTTCCGAATCGCCATTTTCTATTTCTTCTTTTTCTTCTATCGTCTGTATCATTGCGTTGTGAAAAGTTGAACATCTCAGTTTTGAGAACGCCTTGGTCGGGTTACATTCGGTTTGCGTAGTGAGTAGGATTACGCTAGTGTTTCAAAATAATTGAAAATTTTCAGTGATATTTAATTTAAATAAATCATCATGAGCTGGCAGGATTATGTAGACAAACAACTTCTTGCTTCTCGCTGTGTAACCAAAGCGGCCATTGCCGGACACGATGGCAATGTGTGGGCAAAATCAGAAGGCTTTGAGGTAAGTAATAGAATATATCGAAATTATTATGTGTAGAATTTAATGGTTCAGCCGATTTTACCTGAATGGACATATTTTTTTACCTAATATTCGAACAAAAGCTTTATGTCATTCGTGGGTTGGGCTGCTCATTATTCGGTATGCGCTGTTTCCAAGTTCAGTTATTTGTTGAAATCTGTATTATTTCTGTTCATTGTATTAAATTACAAACGTATTTTATACGATACTAATATAGTTTCATTTATTTCGTGAACATTGTAGTAACCGGCTTGCCAATTTTATTCAACATGGCGTCTTCATATTGCATTCTCCCAGACAGCTCACAAAATGTACACATGCTTTGTTATATTTTTTAATTAGCGTATTGACTTTATTCTATAAAAATATCAATCGAAAAATAAAAAACTTGAGTTGTGTATTATCAAACACACAGGAGCTATTCATTTTTACAATATAAAATTAATATCAAACTTATTTTTGCTTCTATGGAAATTAAATCATATGAATTGATTCTATAGTGTGCAGATATAGTACTGTTTGTTTTTTCTTTTGCTTTTAACTATAGCAAATTTATAACATTTAACTATAAAGGTAATTTTTTTTCGGATTAAAATTCGTATTAATTTATCATATAGTAATCTGATTAGTACAAATGTTATCTTAATACTTTTAATCCTCTTCGACTTGTGCAAATCTACAAAATAATTGAAGAGCCGCAATTTGTAATTAAATTAAAAATATATTTAATAGCATTCAACATCTTGATTATTGGTAAACTATAGAAAATTGGTAAAATACACAATTTTGAATGTGCACAGACTTGTTTGCAAGCGTTTATGATTAATACTGAAAAACTTGACTTATTTCTTTGGGAAATGCCTTATTGTTTGTTAAATTATCTTTTAACATCGATCAACATATACAGTTCTATGTAATGTTTAACGAGAAATCTCGACCTTGGTTATTTCAAGGACATCTTTCCAATACTAGTATCTTGTGGGAACCTGTGATGTACTCGAAATTCTATATTCTCTGTATGATAACACCCTAATATAGACTTAGAAAATTCTTATACCATTCTGATATTTTTGTTTAAGCCCTCAAAAATCAAGTTCTTGAGTGAACGCTGGTTTTATTATTATTACAACACATTTTATTTTTATTTCAATTATTCAATTCATTAATTGTATCTACATTTAAATTCTGTACGAACATTGAGTATAACATTTTCAGCCACATTCAGACATTGCTATTAGTCACAGAGTCACAAGTACATAGAAATTATGTGGCGTAGTCTTACTTGGCGTTTGAATATGTGTAGGGCTATTGTGGGTGGTGGGGCACAAACTTTCACTAGTTTTCATTCTGTAAGCTTTGTCGCAACAAATAATACATGAACTTGAAATATAGTAGGAAATGATTGATAGTACTAATATTACGTTATGTTAATTGGTGTTGTCAACAAGTATATACAAAATTTTGCAGAATTCTTTGTCAATTGAGGTTTCGATATTTGATTAGTCATTATAATATTCTATTGTAATGAATTTGTGGTTCTTAAATGGTTTTGCAGTCTGCTAAATCTGCATTACATATATGCAACGTGTCGAATTTTTTACGATTGCATACGTCATATGCAACTACGTATTCCCAGGTGGACTTCATTTCCCATTTCCCATCCCATTTGCATTTCATCTATCTATCTACCAAGATACTACTGTAACTATATCTTTTTAACATTGTCTCAAATTTTGGCATAAATCTTCTCCCTCAGGTGACGAAAGACGAGCTCTCAAAACTGGTCGCCGGCTTCGATAACCAAGATCTATTGACGTCTGGCGGCGTCACGCTGGCCGGCCAGAGGTTCATCTACCTGTCAGGTACCGATCGCGTAGTCCGTGCTAAGTTCGGCAAGATTGGAGTCCACTGTATGAAGACGACGCAAGCCGTGGTAGTTTCGCTGTATGAGGAACCTATTCAGCCTCAACAAGCTGCTTCTGTCGTGGAGAAACTTGGTGACTACCTCATAACTTGCGGCTACTAAATGTGAGTAGAAACATTTTGGTAAAACTTAAATTTAAATAAATTAAAATAATTCACGTCCGTGATTTTTTTTAGTTAAGTATTATTTTTCTATTTGTTCATTGAAATAACTTCGATATTGCTGTATAAGCAGTGGTGTTGTACTAATATTTTTTTTGTCGCAACGCTAAAATTTAAAAACCGGTTTATAAACCGATTCAAAAACCGGTTTTCATGTTTGTTCCGGTTCCGTTCGGAAAGGAAAGAAACAAAAATCATTACAAAACCTATTTTGTGCACATATATGTATGTTTATTACAATAATAGGAACAATTAATAAAAATTAGTTGAATTATAATTTATAAAATTCATTTATTAAATTATTTTCTGCATGTAGCGATAATTTTTTTTTGCCAGCTTATAAGCGATTGGCCGGAACGACGTTCCGGCTCGACAACACCACTATGTATAAGTATATATCAATATTAACACAATTAATAAAATAAAATCAATTAATAATATTTTTACATACCTTTATACAGTAGTTTCCAATCTTTTTATACCGCGCACTCCGTTTTTTTTTATTTTTTTGAAAAAATAATGCTCTGCCTTCATTTTTTTATAATCTAATTTTATAAATTACATAAATTTATATAAATATGTCAAATTTATTTATTTTTCATTTCAATTTCATTTCAATTTTGTGTACCTTGAGCCCGCCCTACAGGTTGGAAACCACTGCATTATCTTTATCTGATTGGGTACTTCTTGTTACTTTGAATAAGTAAACGCGTTGGGCAAAGATATATTGTTACTTACTATTATAATAATTTTATCCTAAAATATGAACTACTTGTTTAAAAACCGTTTTACAAGTTAGTAACCGTTTTGCTATATGATTCATTTGCATGTGCTTAGATTGTTCTAGTTATGTTGTACTCCTCGTTTCAAATGTATAGGAAAATTAGTTGAACTTTTTGTTGCAGGTGAAACACTGGAGTGGCCCCTTATTAATTTTTAAGAAAACTATAATAATTATAATTACGATTAATGAATAAATTTAAACAATGAAGACCGGCCAGCAAAAAGGGACAGAATTTTTTTCTCATGCCTCCTGCAATGCAGTAAAATATTTTGTGCCATTTTTGTGCCTTTGTTCCCGGTGACCTTTTTTTCCTCAGAAGGGACACCTGGAGTGTACTGGCAAAATCGAGGACATTAGTTTAAACATTTGTATTATAAAACCGTGCGGACGGCAAAATGAATAAAAAATCTTACTACGATTAAATTTGTATTAATTTCGATGTGAGGTTATCGTACTTGTGGATTTAAATATACTTTCTCCTTTAATAAAACTCGTGCTTTTGCAATTTATGATTTGTCTATTATTAGCTATTGTATGTAATAAATACTGATATGAATATTTGATACCACTACAATAAAGAATTTTATAATAGTTTGTACTAGTCTCTACAGTTTTGAAATTTTTATATATATTCGTAATTTGTGCAAAATGCCGTACGATAGGTTTGTCGGATCTGATCTCGCCGCTTCCTTCTATGATGACTGCACATTGTTTATTTTGACATATTATCTTACATCGCGCACGGCATTTTGCACAGGCATTTCGACAGTATTTAAACATGAACCGGTATTGAACAAAAAGTAATCTAAACAATGTAAGCTTTGTATCCTTTATAATTAGATATTTTTTGGTATTGTGTCAAAACTGCAAAATAATTATAATAAAAAATTTGTATTATATCCAAGTCTTTTATTTCTTCATATCTGTGGGTGCAATATAATAATGAAACACACTCATGTTTGATAAATTTATTTGACAAAAACATGATTACTATTGTCTTGACAAATTCTACAAAGTACATATTTCAATTTCAGTTCAGGTTACAAAATTTTTCAGAAGATATTCTATTTTATATCAGGATATTAAACAATATTATGGTACGTCAACGGGCCGTTGATTCCCATTTTATTCCAATTTATAGGGGCACTTCATGTGTTTATTAAGCAACTACCTGATATTTAGCTGATATTATAAAATCAGTTATTTCTGCTACATACATTAATCTAATTAAACATGAATTATTTGAATAGTAAAGGGAAATGATTTCATTTCTTTGGACTCCTGGTTCATTGTGCCTGAGTAATTTATATTACGACCACTATATCCTTATTTTTCATATATTAAGAAATTGTATTTTATTTAGTGATTCGACGTTAAATTTGAAACATTAAAGTTTGTTGGCTTGCATTTAATATAAGTTTCAATGATTAATTATCATTGGGTTGTAGTTAAAAATCACTGCGCGGTTTGATAACATAAATATTAGCTATTTCAGAACTTAATATTAACGCATACGACGTAATGTGTTAAAATGGATTCTTGTAATAAATCAATATTTATATTGGTGTAAAAATAGGTTTAATGGGTTGGTTGAATGTGTAACGAGTTGATAAAATAATAAATTCTTTGCTAAATCTAGTTTACATGCAACGTAGTGTACAGCATCACATCTAAAGCTAATAATTTTATATACATTTTTGCGAATGTCCGCATAAGTTAAGTGCGAAATTATCTTCTTTCATACTTTGAGAAATTAGTATGATGCAATGATTAATTTGCAAAAAAATGTTATTTCTACAGTGCACTAATTTTATTGACAAACTGTCTTACTTCCCCTTCGTTCCATATGCAGAACGGTTAATTGTAATTCATTATTAGAATAAATAAATAATCCTACAACCTAAAACGGGTAACTATAGTATTCAATGCTAATATTATGGTTAGGACTAAAGTTGAGGGCAGTGTACATATTTTCTTACGCCTAAAAAACATAGAACTCGGTAAATTGTCAACTTTTCGATTATTTACTGGTCCAGTGAGTAATGTTTAGATTTCTTAAAAAAGTTTTTCAAAAATCCTCTTCTTTGTTTAGGCACCACTTCCTCTAAAGCTTCTGAAACAAAGATAATAAGATTAGTATTATTATACATAAATTCTAAAAAGAAATTGACTTAAACTTTGCACAAATTTCTCGCTTAACGTACACTTGGCGAATAGCACATGCTCTATTTTCGTGAAATTCTTCGAGTTATTATTGGGAAGTGCAAAAATAGAATGCTTACTGAAAATTGATCATTTACTTGCGTGTACTCGCGAATTTAAATATTTTTTTTTATGAACGCAGAAATTGTTATTCCAGACAGATAAATTTCCTATCTAATGTTTCTCATCCTTTCGCTATTATATGGTGTATATTATCTTTTGTGTCCATTATTCCTGTCGTAGGAATGTTGTTTATTTGGATATCTATTTCCGTTGTTGCTTCCGGTTTTTTGATAAAAGAAACCTATATGAATTCTAAGCGACGACTGGTCAAATAATTTACAAGATTTGGAATTGCAAAGTTTTATGTCAATGAATATTGTTTTTCGTTTTATTTGCAAAAGTTTTATCGTCATAATTGACGATTTTTTTATGGTCAAATGTGAGCAAAATAGTGTCCAATTATTTTTTTCTTGAATTAGTATTCCTGCTGCCTGTATTTATCAATAAACATTTAGTAATTTTCATGAACATAATTTTATATTCGAAATAATAAACGTGATTGTTGTATGTTTATCAACAAGTTAGCAGTGTGATGATAATTTATATATTTATACAAATAAATGAAATTGGAGTATCTGTAATATTCAAATAGCAGTTATAGTAAATTGAATTTAAATAACGTTAATGTTTTTTTTTTTCATTTTTTGTCTGTGTGTTCCGGTTAATCTCCGAAACTGCTGGCCCAATTTTGGCAGGACTTTTACTGACAGGTTGCTGGTGTTATTTAGGCTTGAAATTGATCAATTATGTTAGTAATTTTCATCGTTTTTTCTATTAATTATTTATATTATATTATTTAAAGATTAACTTCCCGTAGGGTAAGTTATTGTGATGGGCCGAAAATCGAAATTGAAAATTTTTACATTTCTCGACGTTTTGAAGGTTACTGAACATTTTGGCATATCTCAGAAAAAATGGATGTGTGTGTGTGTATGTATGTATGGATACCAATTTCCAGTCACGTTTTCGGGCGCACGGATCAAATGATTTGAATGGTTCAAAAAACATTCGATTCCTATTGATAGGGAAAAGAGCTGATTAGTTTTTGGCAAAGGCAGGTCCAGCCGTTTCGGAGATACGGAGCAAAGAGTGCAGAAAATAGAAATCGTCTTTTTGGGAGAACGGATTATCCGATTTAAATGATCTAAAGAACGTATAATTTGTAATGAAGTTCCAGCAATTTGCCTTAAGGCACGATGCCATACACCCAACTAGTTCATTTTTTAAATGCCTACCTATTAGTTATGATTTAGAGGTAGTTGAGAAGAGTTGTTATATTACCCCAAAAATAATTTATACTAGCAATAATAAAATATTAGTAATTATTAACAAAGGAAGTGTCACAAAATTGGTTGTTTTGCCCTCAATATCGAATTCAGTTTCACATAAATATAGTCAAAACTGTACTACTGATAATATGAATAAAAGAATTCATTAAGAAACTAATAAAGTCTAATTTAAGTGTTAAATTTGCATCAACTAATTTATATCATGTAAAGATTGTCATTCAACCTGTGTCGTCCCATAAAGAGTGTATCCGGTCACGCATTGCATATGGTTAAAATACCAAATGAGAGCCAACCGAATATATTTTTTTATTTATGTAAAAAAATATATTTATATTTTATTTAAGGAAACATAGAAAAATCTATTTTAGGTTTTTTGAGTTTATTAAAAATATTCATAAATTTAAATTATATCGAGGCTTTAAAATATACTGTAGTTCTTTCTTCATGAATTCAAGAAACTATTCTTGTACATATTTTATTTTTTCGATACACTTGACTGTACTTTTTTACATGCTATTGTGTTTGTGAATGTCATATGATTGTTCAGCTTGGACGAGAGTCATTCGTAATACAGTTGTGCATCGCCATGGTAACGTAAAGTGAAGCTTGTGAGTACCCTAAAATCAGTGTTTGTCAAATAATAAGGGGTCTTCGGTTAAGACTACTACGTGGATACAAGTAACACTTTGTTAATTGATGTAATAAAATTTACTATGAGAGGATACTAGGATCGCTAGGGATACAAATAATAGATAATATAACAGGAAATAGGTATATTAATTAAATAAATTATGAATTATTAAATAATTAATAAATAGTAGATAGTATAATAAAAGAAAATAGGTATATTAATTAAATAAATTATGAATTATTAAATAATTAATATATTAATTTAATAAATTATTGAAGTTTCAAAAAAGTACTTAAGCACTGAAAATATCTTAATGCAGTTTTTGCAAATTAGCAAAATATTTGATTTCGAATTAGAATTAGTTTCTCTGAAAATGATCATAAAAGATAAAAACAGCTTGATGAATTAATCTAATTTTTATATAAATAAAGATTTGAGACTTCTTTTTCAAATGTCATCATAAGTTTAAAACTTTTACTATCAACTCGGTGGCAAGGTTAGAAAATTAAAAATGGTTAAAAATTACTTAAGAGCATCAATTGCTCAAGAACAACGTCTCAATGATTTATCGATTTTTCCGGTTCGAAATAATGGAAGAAAACCGATTATTTTAGTATAATTTCCTGTAAGTTAAGTTATAGCATTCGTCCAAAAATCGAAAATGATATTTTTTGCATATCTACGTTTCAGAGGTTTCTGAACTATTTGGCATACATTAGAAAAAATTGATGTGTGTGTGTATGAATGTGTGGATACAATTTTTCGTCAAAGATTTTGAGATCACGGATCAACCGATTTGAATGATTCGTAAAACATTTCATTCTTATTGATAAAGAGACGTTGATCAGTTTTTGGCAAAGGCAGGTTCAGTTGTTTCGAAGAACGGGGCAAAATTAATTCAGTTTTTGAGAGTACGGAGCGTCCGATTTGAATGATCCAAAAAATATTTTAATTGTAATGGCAAAATGAAGAATTGTTTAATTTTTGGTAAGGTAGGTTCAGCAGTTTCAGAGATTTAATGAAAAAAGAAAAAAATACCAGACATATGCGCATTAAAGATTGTAATAATAATTACATTTTTTTACATTTCTATTTTATTTCAGCTACGCAGCGTGATTGCTTTGATTTGATTTTTTCCAGAAATTTCAAAATAAATAAAAAAAAAAAAACTTTCCAAAATATTCCAATATTTTCAAAAATTCCAAAGTCCTCAAAAAACAATTTTTTCACAGTTATTACAATTTTTATAAAGCTTTTAAAAATTTCAAATTACTGTTTGGGAAGTTCCAGCACGATGCCACGCAGCACTAGTATTTTTCGATTCCGGTCCTGATGATGTACTTAGATTTCGATTTTCGTAACATTCCGCCAAATGTTTTGGAAGCCCCG